AGCAAACAGAAATATTTTAAAACTTACTCAGATAATTTTTTATTTCAGATTCTTTATTAGTTCACTAGCCATCACCACTACTCTTTCAAACATCAGTGGTTGACCCCTATTCAGTTCTCTCCACAGATATAACCTATTCCTCTTGTTTTCTCCTCAGAGTTATAATGCTCCACAGTTGTCTGGAAGATGACACAGATCTGTACAAGTTCCCTCAACTATATACCAGTACATCTTTTTTTAACGTGCTTTTTTCCTGCACTAGTAATAGTCAAGTGGTCAGCTGTCCAGACCTCCAGAGGGTCACTCTCATAAGCTTTCCCACGCAGACCGGACACCACACCATCCAGCATGGGTGCAGAGGTCTCCGCTTTTTTATGGTGTGGCTCCTGTTAACTCCTGTGTGTGAAACTCAGAGAGGAGAGGAGGCGGGAGAAAGGGAGAAGAGAAACAATTTGAAAGTCTAAAGAGGGATGCAGTGTTTTTGTTTTGGCTTTGGGGCACAGATTTGTGAGGCAATATTTAATCCATTGTGAAAAGTCAACAATTGTAACTGGTCCTGCACTCAAGTTCATGTAAATGTGAAAAAAAAAAGTTATTGTAGTATCTTTATACTACAATAATGTTGACCTTTGTGAGAAGATAAAAAGCTTGTTTGGAGAGTTTATGCGACAGATGAGAAAATCTCAAGTTCAAGTTTTAGTTACTTCTGTTTGACAACCATAGACACAGAACTAAAGGTTTTTCATCATTCTTCAGGGCTTTTATTTCTTTCATGATAAGCTGACTCAGGACAGAATGCATGGAGTTGAACTGTTATACTGGCCTTTACCTTGAAAATCAGATGTGATTGAAAAGGAAGGCAAGGATTTGGGGAAGGCTGATAAGTAAAGGGGAACCTGACCTGTGACCAGACAGCTTGTGCCCTGCCGTGTCGGGTGTATATTCCTGGCAGCTTTGGTAACTACCAAAAATACTGGTGAACAAATTATGGAATGTCCTTACTTTAGTTCATAAGTTCAGACACCATTTTCTCGTTTACCAAGGGCACTCCTGAAAGGGTATGTCAGCGGATTTACCTCCCTCGTGAAAGAGAATCTTGTCCTCCAATTATGTACACAAAGCCAGGTAAAGTATTCCTTTGCACTCTTGTAGACCTTTGGCGCAAGGTAAAGAAAATTTGGCTCAAGAGCCTGGCATATGCTTCAAATACTGCAGAGACATATAATGGAATTGACATGACTGTCATTCATAAACTTAGTAGAGTTACCCAGGAATTTATATATTGACTTATTATATGGTTAATTTTCCATATTAAAATATGAGGTTCATCATAATGAAAACAAATATTCCATAAATATTTTCCAAATGTCAATTATGTGCCTACTTCTTTTCTAGATACTACAGATACAAAGATACCTTGGCTATTTATATTCACCAAAGTTTATGTTAATACTATTAATAGCTGCTTTTAAAACTCTTGATTTAAATAGGACAGTATACAATCATCAAGTATCTTTCCTTCACAAATATTATCTCAATGACTGTAATATCATCCATGGCGTATTTTGTAATTCCCGTCTTTTATATGTTCTTTTAGCTAATTTGATGAATGTACAATCTTATTGTATGAAAGAGAAATTATCTTCAAGAGGCAAGATGAGAAAATTCAATAGCTCTTGTTAAAGAGCTGCATTTCATAAGCAGACAAAATGCTTCTTTTACATTCCTATACCTTTCTTAAACTTCTCTACCTTTTATTTTTAATTATTAATAATACACACTTTATCACAGCTTTTAAAAAGCTAACAAAATCAATTTTATGTAATCGTCAAGAGCAGAAAAATGACATACTTTATAATATAATTTGGTTCAGCTCCTTCATTTTAAAAATGCAAAAAGTAAAATCCCAGAGGGATCCAAGGTCTTACAGCAAGTGGTGGAGGTCATAAGAGCAAAAGCTCAGTCATCTTATCCTTAGTCTAGATTATGCTTCCTTTGTTCCTCATCAGTGAACACCTTAGTGAACTCAAATAAATATCGCCGATTCTGATACTAGTGTTTGATTTATAAAAAATTCTAGAGGGCTGGCCTTTAGGAAAGAAATTATTATATTTCTTCTTAAAACAATTGGCACATTTCTTTGTATTCATCTAGATATTTTGATTCATAACTATATATAGTTCTTTGGCATCAACTTCAACTATCAAGAATGTTTTCACTTAGCTTAAGAGTTGTCTAAAACATTTGACTATAGATGATATTAAAATGAAAACTAACATAATCTCACAAACCAACTTCAATTTTAACATAACCAGTTTCAACTAAAAATGCGATTGTAATAATCCCAACAGCTATTTTTATTGTTCTCTTTAATTTTATTTATTTATTTATTTTTTATTTCACAATATTATGGGGATACAAATGTTTAGGTTACATATTTGCCTTTGCTCCACCTGAGTCAGAGCTACAAGCATGCCCATCCCCCAGACAGTGTGCACCACACCCATTAGGTGTGAATATGCCTATCCCCTTTTCCTCCCTCCCACCTGACCAACTTTTTATTGCTTTTTGATGTGTAAGGCATTACTCTTAGCATTTCATGATTTGCTCATTTAATTCTATGAAGCAGATGCCATTTTTATCATTTTTGTTTTATAGGTGAGAGGCTTGAGGCTTCATCTCTGAAACTTAGGTTCTTAAAATTTAATTTACCCAATATTACATGATTAGGACATGACAGACCGAGAATTTGGATCTTTATAGGATGCAGACACCCACAGTCTTCACCAGTGTATAATTTGTACTAAACTCCTCAACTTTTGAATTCCAAAAGCTCATTTGCTATTTAGTTTTTTAGAAGTTAGATATGTGTTCATACTCAAAGATTATTACCAAGTCCACTTAATTCATAAAGTAGTCTAGATAATATAATTTTATCACTTTTAAAAAAATACATGTTAGGGACCAAAATGTTTATGTCATTATTTTTAAGAGATAATTCATTCTCTCTTGAGAAAGGAGACGGTGAAACTAGAACTGTTCTTTGGCCCCAGGTTTCACGTTCTGGTGTCAGTCCTATGACCACAACTCTAAACCATCCCTCCCCAGCCCCAAGAATGTGGTTTGCAACCAGATAAAGGAAGCTACGTGACCTTGCTCCTTCCCATGCCAACAGCAATGTCTACTAAAGGCCACTTCTTTTGCTTCTTGTCTCATCATTGGACTAATCTACACTAGTGCAGCATTTCTTGCTTCTTCAACTCCAGACAGCTTGTCTCTCAGGTGGGTTATTCAGACCTCCCTCCACTGATCTTTCAATGTAATCGAGGGGCCTACGTTGGTATATCAAGGTATGACCCCAAGTTACTTGCTCTTTATAATTCTAAGTCTAGAACCACTAGCCCTCTAAGGTGGTTTCTAAATGTAGTAAATTCATTTTTAATCCTTAGATGGGAGATTTGGATTTTGGGAGATTGTGTTCAATGCACAGGCCAGAGTTAGTATGCTCTAATAACAGTTACTATGCTGATGGGTCTCAGCACACATCAATTAGCTGAACATTGGATCATTCTTAAATGCACTCTGGAATATCAAAACTTTGTAGAGATATTTTTAAAATGTATATGTTCATTTTAATAGAGCTCAAAGTCAATGCAACATGTTTCTTCCAGGTGTGTGGAATATTTAACGTATTTAATAAATTTATATACATGTATATACATTCTTTTCCATTTCTTCTATATAGAGATTTTAAGAAATTTGGCTATCAGAAATATTTTTCTGTTGAATAACAGACACTTCTGTTACAGAAGAGACATGTAGAAAGATGGAAAAGCTTATAAAGATTGTGTATTTTCTGCTTTAACAGGGAGATATATTTTGGCTTCATGTTCTCAAAATTATAATTTTCACTTCTTATTTTTCAAAAATAACAGGAATAAACAAATGATAATCTTTTGCCTTAATCATTCTGTTGTTGATTTATTTATCGGAAGTAAAATGAATTCATAAACCGAAGTGCAACATAATGATTTAAGTGAGCACTTTGTCATAAATTCTCATTCCTCTGTGTTTTGGGGGTGTGTTTGAAAGGTTGTTTTGTAACTTATTTTATATCTCTTACATAATCAGAATTCTGTAACTGAAATAAATAGATATTAGAATAAAAGGTTTTTTCCATGCTGCTGCTAAATAACCTCCTGGATGCATGCCAACAATCTGTGGGGCTCACAAATATAGTTGTGTTTTCTCACCCATTTGTTGATCAATGTAATTCAATTCTATAAGTGTTTATGGAGAATGGCCCTACTATGCACAAGTCATGTGCAAGGTGTTCAATAAATATTTGTAGGATAGCAAATAACTGCAGTGTAATAGCATAACCTCACATGCTACACAGCATATATGACAATAAATTTGAAAGGGGGAAAATAGAAACTACTGAGCTTTTCAGCTGATCACAATCAAATCAGAACACATCAAAACAGCTGGTGTTCTGTGACTCAGAATCAATCAACCAGTTTTGAATCACCTCATACTTCTTTATTTCTCTTTACAGTTTCACAGAAGAGATTTATACCAGCATATGTCCTTCCCATTTGCTTAAATCCCTGCTTTGAGTTGCTTTGCTTTCACATTCTAATACCAATGAATGAAAATGACTGTAATATAAAGAAAAAAAATAAAGGCTAACATTAAAATGCTTTTTAAAATGATGCTGCTACATTTGTGTAAAATAAACCATATGCTCAAATAAAATGCCCTAGAAGAAACGTGATATTTTAAGGTTGTGTTATGGAATGGGGATAATCCTGCATCAGCAATATTTATGTAATTTACAAATATGGCCATGATTATTGTAATTTTCCAAGTATATAATTAATATTTTAATGATTATACAAATAATATCTTTGGAAAATCAATATTAGGCTAGTAAATAAAAGCTAAATGTTATTATGTGTTTTTGTTTTTGACACTAGCTCCTCTCTTTGTTCTGATAGGTACCTATTACACCATTCCTTGGCGAAGGCTATTCAGCAGTGGTGACCTCTTCCACTCCAACACTCTACAAATTATTATCTCTGGACTCCCAGCTGACACCCTGCCGGAGGCAAAAGCTACTAAGCCAACTGGAACTGTGCCTTTTCTCTTGTCAAGGTTTTTTTCTTACACAGGAAAAAGAAAGAAAAAAAAAAAGATGAAGTTGGGCAAAGTGGAATTCTGCCATTTTCTGCAGCTAATAGCTCTTTTCCTGTGTTTTTCTGGGATGAGTCAAGCAGAACTCTCAAGGTCCAGATCAAAGCCCTATTTCCAATCAGGGAGGTCCCGGACGAAGCGCAGCTGGGTGTGGAATCAGTTCTTTGTGCTGGAGGAATACATGGGTTCAGACCCCCTCTATGTAGGAAAGGTAGGGCATTTGGCCTTTCAAAGTTGCAAATGATTATTGTCAATGACTGTGGTTGGATAGAAAACTGCTAACTTTTGCTATGGGGATGGAAAACACAAAACATCATTCCTAGGAAAGAATTTATGAAGTTTTTGGCATTAGCCACTTCCAAGTTGTAAGCAGAGTGTTATATTCAGTACAGTGCTGTATGTTAGGGAGTGATGCTTCATTCCTAAAAACAGATGAGGATCCTACAGAGGCCTAGTTTACTGTGATTGAAGCATACTGGTAAAATTTTTTTCACCAAAATTAGAACATAAATATCCTCTAATAAATGCAGAGTAGTGGGTTTTTACAGCCAGTTGATTTTTTTAGCCTCTTCTTTTGGGATACTATGTAAATAATGTCCATACTAACGTTTATGCGTATGAATCATTCCCTGAAACAGTATCAAAACTGCAAAGTGAAATTATGGATCTTAATGGCTCTAGATTATGAACAATTCAAATCCACTTTTCTTACTGGTCTCATTTTGATATATCTTTGTGGGTTTCTTTCTTTCTTTTTTAGGTTGCTTGGTAAAATTTCCTTTTGATTAAAAATGAACATGAACAGAAGTCAGTTAGAAATGATATTAGACAAATGGTGGGCAGTTCGTGGTGCATTTGTTTGGTGGCCAAGAGTTAGCCAGATGGAGATTTTTTTTTCCCTCACAGCTTCCTTCTGTCTGAATATTTAGGCAGGAAGTTTACGTTGTAGGGCCTTGTGAACCAAATGGTGCTTCAGGAAAGCATAGCCGGTCGGGCGCAGTGGCTCACACATGTAATCCTAGCACTCTGGGAGGCTGAGGCAGGAGGATAGCTTGAGCTCAGGATTTTGAAACCAGGCTGAGCAAGAGTGAGAACCCGTCTCTACTAAAAATAGAAAAAATTAGCCGGGCATGGTGGCGTGCGCCTGTAGTCCCAGCTACCCAGGAGGCTGAGGCAGGAGGATCACTTGAGTCAAGGAGTTTGAGGTTGCTGTGAGCTAGGCTGATGCCAAGACACTCTTGCCTGGGCAACCAGAGCAAGACTCCGTCTCAAAAAAACAAAAAAAAAGCATGGCCTTTTCCCTGCCATTCTCATGGCATGTTCCCAGTCCCAAGTCTACTGAAGGTTCAATTATTTCAATATTTGTAAAGATTTCCTGATTTCTCAATTTGATTCTGAGTACTGGTAAAGGTTTCCTAAGTAGGATATATTAGTAAGAAATCTATGTCTGTATTTCACCTGTTCCCTCTGTCCATTTTATGCTTCTATTCCTGATAAAATGAAGCATAGCTAACTAATGAGTTTATCTATAATTCAATTTTTCAACTTTGAAAGATAGAGGTTATTTATTCCATGGGTCATTATTTCATTTGAGCACACCTTAAGTAAGGGTAGAAATTATTTTCATTGATGAGCATCTACATAAATCAAGGTAATCTTTATTATTTTTATTATTATTTCATTTTAATATCTCTGTATTTTAGAAATACTGACTGGCACTGTATTGTAAACAAAATAATTTGAGTAAGTTAAAGGTTTCTAGGAATGTGGATTAGGGTTTTTTTTTTTTTCTTTTTTTTGGCTAAGTCACAGCATTTTCCTACCCTAGGAAAGTATGTGTAAATACACAAGAGTTTTATGTACATGTATGTATTTTTATAGCCATTCTACTTTATCAATATCAGCATACTAAATACTATTAATATACATGTGCTAAGTTTCTCTCTCACTCTCTTTGCACTTGTTTTCATGTAAAAAAGTGAGAAGAGTGATCATTATGTAATGTTATTGACTAAGAATCTAGCTCTTAATTTAATTCATTTTTAATGGACATTTAACAAATTCATCAAGCTTTCTTCAACAGACAGATTGACAGATTCAACTAATTTACAGAGTCAATAGTTATTAGGTGAAATCATGTTTTTTTGGCAATGTAAAATTTTCTAAAAACAGCAAAAAATATTCCCATTAATTTGGTTTTAAATGAAATTTCCTGGGAAAAGTTGATATTTTAAAAATCAATACAATTTTAAAATGTAAATGCCCTTTTAAAAAATGTTATAACCTTCACGTAATAATTCAGAATGCTTATACACAAATAACCCCTGCAAGTCAATTTAAAATTATTAAAAATATATGTCCCTATGTTACTTAATTTCCAAACATGTACAAAGTTACTGGGCAATGGTGTTGTTATTTGTCTAAGAGAAATTGTGTGGTTTATTGATTAGGTAATAAGAAATATTCATATTTCCCTTTCAATTCATCAGAAAACGTTGCTTAGCAAATTTTATGTGACAAGAAAGTTAGTTTTTCTTTATCTCTTTCATGCTGTATATTGGGACTTCAATACAGCCATTGACAGTAAAACTCAGGATAGAAATGGGTTAAAAAAGAAAAAACCTCTTAATTGATTAAAATACAGGAAAAAGGGCAGTAAAATAATTTGAGATGGAAAGAGGATTTATAGATGAGAGACAAATGCAAGACCTTACAGAAACAATTCTTGTATTTTCTTAAAAAAAAAAGTGGCAGAGAACTTCAGTACTATAGATTTTATATATGAGATGATGAAATGATTCTTTTTAGGTTGGTGCTCTGAATAAACAGCAATATAAGAATAATTTTGACCTCAGTACAGTTTGATCACTTGGGTACATAAAATGTGTGTGTGTGTGTGTGTGTGTGTGTTTGTGTACAGAAATTGATGGCTATGACCAGAAATGTTTATAGGACAGAGAAAACTAAAAATTATAGATGAAGATGTGTTGGAGTGTCTAGACAGATAATCGTGAAAAGAAAAGAAAAAAACCTTATCAGAACTTTTCACAGATGTATATTTAACCTATGCTAATTGGACCAGGCTCTTAATTGCTCTGACAAAATTCTAGCTATTTAGATAATTTGGAAGATATAAATGATGGCTTTAATAAACTTTATAGCTTAATTTAATCGCATAATGGATAAGTACAATGTATGTCAGATTAACATCAGTTTTATTGCTGGCTCTACCACTTCCTACCAGTTGTATAACTTGGGGGCAAGTTGCCTAATATTACATTTTCATTTTCTCATTTCTAAAATAAGAACAATGATATCTACAAGTCAAGTCTGTTACTGAATAAAGGAGATTAAAATATTTGGAACATACATTCAATTAGTCTGGACATCATTTTCTACTTCACTACATATTAATTATAAATTAACTGAGTTATGGATAATCTATTGTATTATGTGTCAAATGGTGTATGTGTGATTTCTTAGATGAAAGCAGGCATTATTTTATGGTCCACTAGTGTATATATTTATTCCAGTTAATTAGACGAATGGTCCATTTTGGATGTGCTTAGAAATGTAGCATTTATTTTCATATTTATATAGGATTAAACTATGGCAGAAATATAATTAGTAGGTTAAAAATCCTAAAAACAGGAATTTCAAATGTTGGAGAAATCATATCTGTGAATTTTTTGAGACCTTTGAATTTGGAGGCCTTCATATTAGTGGATTGTGGCCAATAAGATCAATTAAATGACTGAACAGAAAGTAAAATTCGGTTATTAAGACATTGAGGATAATGAGGCCACGATATGGCTTTCAACCTTATTATTTCATCTAATTTACTGGGTTTGTTTTACCTATGATAACCAAGACTAACGTAGACAGAATAGTCTGTTGAATGGGGCTGGGAGTGCTTCTAGAACGCTTACCGAGTAACTGCCAGGGCACAGAAATTTGCGCTGGGTTAGACTCTGGTGGTGCAACCTTTATCATTAACTTTCCATTGTTTTCTTGTGAAATAAGTTGATAAACTGCTGACCCTAAATGTATAGACTTAAAGAAGGAGTCCTTAGACATTATTCTGATTGATTTCTGTTTCAAAGAATAATAGTGCATCTTCCCCTAAGTATATTTCTTAATTATCATCATGCCTATTTTCTTGTCAGTATATGGGGAGAATGAAAGGGACAGTCTTTTCTTTTCTTCCTCTGACTTTATAGCATCGCTCACCTGGCTATTTGCCACACATAGGAGGTGACAGTTTCCACCCATTTCATTCCCTCACACTGCACTTTTCCAGCCCAGTCTTTTTGTCACCTAAGCATTTCTCACTTAATGTCTCTCAACCATCTAACAAAAAAATCTGTCCACAAAACCACCCAGTCTCTGTTCCAGGGATTAAGTGTTTTTCATCTTTCCTAACCGTAATGGGCTGCAGGCCGATCACCGTGCTCTGGGCCATTACTTTCACTGAAACGTGTGCTCCGTGCCTCTTCCGCAGTTGCTTCCCTAGCTGTTAACATCACTCTTGCCTTTTTTGCTACTTTCTTGTCTTCCCTGCCCATTCAGGGAGAATTTATTCCTATTACCCCACTAGAAATCAAATACATAGAAGTGCAGTTTGCGGGATTCACTTTGCTTTAAATTTAAGCTTACTGAGAAGTATTGGTGAGCATTTTCAATGCATTTAATTACATGTCAGCAGTCTCTCTCACCAAGAGATTCTTTATCTCCTGATATCTAAAGATACATTCAGAGTTTCAGAAAAGACATTTTCATCTTGAAAACAGGTTGTGTTAAAAAAAACCTGAGTTACAAATCGGCTTCCTTAACTGGGAAATTTTGTATTACCTACAGAAAAAGAAAATAATAAATCCCAACTACCAATGACTTAGGGAAGACTGTACTCATCATAGCAAAATTTACTTGTTATAGATTTTGGTGAAAAGAAAAAAAACACAGGAAAAATGTCCTCTGAATATGTAGTTTGCCTAAAATCAGACCAAATCTTAGGAGAAAACAAAGACAGTTTGTTTTTTCTGAGAATGTATAGAAAACTCATTTTCATAATATCTTTATAACCAGAGTTAATTTGTGAAGGCCCTTGTTCTTATCTCTGTTAGTTTGCTGATAGAAGTCTGGAACTCCTGGTGATTTCAAAAGGAATTTGGACATAGATCATCTCTGTGGGATGCAAATAAGTTCAGGTTT